CGCGTGAGTGGTGTGCCGACATGGGTGCGGTTGGCGCATGCGAACGCAGCCACTGGGGCCGTCGGTGGCGCTCCCACTGGGGCCACGAAACGTGCGAGGGGTGCGCACGAATGGGCGTGGGTGACGCATGCGGGCGGTAGCACTGGGGCCTTCGGTGGCTCCTCCCTCCTCCTCCTCCTCCTCCCCTCCTTCCTCCTCCTCCTCCTCCTCCTCATCCTCCTCCTCCTCTCCTGCTCCTCCTCCTCCTCCTCCTCCTCCTCCTCCCTTCCTCCTCCTTCCTCCTCCTCCTCCTCCTCCTCCTCCCTCTCCTCCTCCTCTACTCCTCCTCACCTCCTCCTCCCTCCTTACTCCTCCTCCTCCTCCACCGCCTCCTCCTCCACCGCCTCCTCCTCATCCCCGTCAATTTCTCTTCGACACAATACACACTCTGCGTTTGAAAGGATGCAGGGATGCCAGAGAGGGAACACGAAAAAACATTTGCCCCCAAGGCCTCCAAAACAGCCCCCAAGCGACCTCAAAAGGCTTCAACACTGCCTCCAAGAGACTCCCGAAACGCCTGCCAAGAAAACCCCACCAACGCCGCATTGAAAACAGCAGAGATGAGGCGACATGGGCCGGCGGAATGAGCGAAACGATTAAATATACTCGAAGATGGTTGACTAGAGCCGGATAGCATAGAGTAGGTCAGAGCAGAGCAAGAGTAGAGTACATGATAGTGTATTACTGCACCGTAGATAGAATAGGATAGGATAGCGCAGGAGTTAGCCGGAGAAGAGGGGCGTAGAGTAGAGCAGCAAAAGGTTGAGTAAAGCAAAGCACAACAGGGTAGAATAGGATGGGGCACCCACGCATTGACGGCAACACCCCCTCGCCACTCTTGTTCCCGCCTCCCCCTCCTCCCCACGCCTCATCCATCCTGCTCCCTTCTCGTCCTCCTCCTCATCATCCTCATCCTCCTCATCCTCCTCATCATCATCATCCTGATCCATCCTCCTCCTCCTCCTCCTCCTCCGCCTCCTCCTCCTCCTCCTCCTTCTCCTTCTCCTCCTCCTCCTCCTCCTCCATCTCCTCCTCCTCTTCCTCCTCCTCCTCCTCCTACTCCTCCCCCCCCCCACCTCCTCGTCCTCATCCCCCCCCCCGCCTGCTCCTCCTCCCCACGCCTCCTCCCTCCTACTTCCACCTCCTCCTCTGCCTCCTCCTCCTCGTCCTCGTCCTCCTCCTCCTAAGCAGCAGCAGCAGCAGCAACACCATCCTCATCATCATCATCATCAGCAGCAGCAGCAGCAGCAGCAGCATCACCAACATCAGCATCCGCATCAGCATCGGCATCGGTATCATCATCCGCATCATCATCAGCATCGTCATCATCACATTCATATCAATTGACATCATCATCGTCATCATCAGCAGCAGCATCGTCGTAATCATCACCACCATCAGCATCCGCACCAGCATCAGCACCAGCATCATCATCCACACCAGCAGCATCATCGTCAGCAGCAGCAGCAACATCACCATCAGCAGCATCATCAACATCAGCATCACCACCATCAGTATCAACAGCAGCAGTATCAATAGCCTCAGCATCAGCGTCGTCATCATCAGTGCCATCAACATCATCAGCAGCATCCGCATCATCATCAGCAGCAGCATCATCGGCAGCACCATCATCACCAGCATCATCATCAGCAGCAGCATCAGCATCATCATCCGCCTCATCAGCATCACCGTTCGCATCATCATCAACATCAGCATTAGCATCATCGACATCGTCACCAACGGCATCATCAGAATCAGCATCAGCAGCAGCATCATGAGCATCATCAGCATCGTCATCGCCAGCATCACCATCATCATCATCATCATCATCATCATCAGCAGCAGCAGCAGCAGCATCATCAGCAGCAGCAGCAGCATCAGCATCAGCAGCATCATCAGCAACATCAGCATCATCATCGCCTCCATCGTCAGCATAATCAGCCGCAACGCGATCATCATCAGCAGCAGCATCTTCGTGAGCATCATCATCATCGGCGTCCGCATCAGCAACAGCATCATCATCATCCTCACCAACAGCAGTTTCATCGTCTTCATCAGCAACGACATCATACTCCTCATCGTCATCAGCATCAGCATCATCACCATCATCATCGTCATCATCATCCACATCATCAGCATCATCATCATTGTCATCAGCAGCATCACCATCATCATCATAACCAGCATCAACCTCGTCATCATCAGCAGCAGCAACATCAACATCAGCAACAGCATCCGCATCCTCCACCTCCTCCTCCCTCTTATATCCTCCCTCCTCCCTCCTCCTTCTCCTCCTCCTCCACTTCCTCCTCCTCCTCCTCTTCCTCCTCCTCCTCCTCCTCGTCATCCTTCTCGAGACATTCGCGACGTGCTGCCTGACATCCGCCGATCCGAATCGTTCAGTGGGCGACCATCCTCCTTTGCACCTCCTCCTCCTCATCATCCTCCTCCTCGTCCTCCTCGTCCTGCTCCACTTGGTCATCCTCCTTCCCACACAATCCCACGAGCCCTGTGGGCTCAGGCCGTCTGACCAGTTCGATCCCTCTAGTTCCAGAACCTCTCTTCCCTTTCGGGGAGGGCTGCCCTCTCCCTCCCTCCCTGATGTTTCGAGGGCGGGCCGCCATCGCTCAGGGCACCCAAGATGGCCCAAGACGGCTCCAAGGGGGCCTCCGATGCTCCAAGATGGCCTCTAAGGCGGCCCAAGGGAGCAGAATATGCTTCAAGCTAGCTTCCGACATACCTCCAAAGGCCCGACGAGGGCCACAAGACCGTTCCAAGTGCTCTCGGAGCCCCCCCCAAAGCAGTACCCCCTATCCCAAGAGGCGGCCAACATCCTTCTCACATCTTAAGAAAACAAGGGTTTACCCCTTCTCGCACATTCGCTTCCAATGTGCTCTCGAGGCCTCAAGCTGGCCTCAAGATGGCCCCGAGATGGCCCAAGAGAGCCCGAAGAGGAGCCCAGGAGGCCCCCAAAACGGACACTCAAGCGCTCAAGGTCGGCCCAGGAGCGACCCAAGAGGCGAATTTGATGACCCAAGGGGGGTGGCGGAAATTTAGGACCCCCTCCCTTGATCGATAGCCTCCAAGATGGCTCCAAGAGGCCCTCCAGGGCTCCCACGAGGGCCCCAAGACGACCCCAAGAGCGCCCCAAGACGGCATCAAGTGTGCCAAAGAGCGTCCCACGAGGGCCTCAAGATGCAGTTTGCCTCCTCTTCCTCCTCCTGCTCCTCCATCCTGCTCCTCCTCCTCCTCCTCCTCCTCCTCCTCCTCCTCCTCCTCCTCCTCCTCCTCCTCGTCCTCCTCCTCCTCATCCCTTCGCCCCCGTTCGCCATGGATTAAGCGAGATTTGTTTCACAATATATGGGTGTCTTTCCGTCCCTTTTACCGTCAGCTCTGATGGGCAGGGAGTCTGAACGGGCCGGCGGGGATGTTTTTTGTTCCGTCGCGGCCGCAGGCGAAGGCGCGTCAGCAGAGTTGGCTCGGGCAACGAGAAACCTAATTGCCGGCGCGCGCGCCGAGCAGGGCAAAACCTACCGCTGGGGGAAGCGGCCGCGCCGGGGCTGCGCTGCGCCGAGGGTGAGGACTGCCAGCTGCGGAGGCTGCCAGGATGCTGCAACGTGCGAGTACCATGGGAGCTGAATCACCAGGCACGTGAATTAGACCTTGTCACCACCGGGCGCCAGAGGACAGAGCAGCAGACTGACAGGTGACACGCCCGGCCGCTCAAGAGGGCTGAACCACTCCTGAATGAACCGGCGGGCCAGTACCCCACTGGCGGGGATACGCTTTGATTTGCGGCCCGCAAGGAGAAGTCCAGAGGGCGGTATGACCGAGGCTGGGGCACAGCGCAAGATAATTGGCGCGAGAACGCGCGAAATGCACCTGCAAACAAATTAGGAAGAGGGGCGGCCACAATTGGGCAACCACCGAGCACAGGCCAAACCCGCAGGTGGGGCCGGACCGAAACCCTGCCGGAGGCACGCAGACCCAAGCAAAAGCCGCTGGGCGGGTGCCAGCAGAAGAGGGCGGCCACGGATGGGCAGACAGAAAACAGGCCGGCTGGCGGGGATACGCGAAGCGTGAAGAATTTCTACCATTCCCCAATGCTCCCGGCAAGGGTCGCAGTGTGGGAGGGTCCAGGCAGGGTCCCAGCAAGGTCTAGGCAAGGCACTGCCAACACCCGGGCAGACTCCTGGTAATTGTGTGGGGACCCTGGCAGGGGCCTGGTAGAGTTCTGGAGGAGTCCTGACAAACCTGGTGGGTCCTGGCAGGGTTCTGGTGGGATCCTGGTGGGGTCCTGGCATGGCCATGGCATCATGCTGGTACGTAGGACCGTGGCATGGCCATAATGTGGCCAGCGCTACGGGCGCGAGGGGGACAGCATCCCTGAACAAGATGCCAGAAGGTCTCGAGCGAAAAGAGCCGCGGCAAGTGTCCCACGTGTGCCATAGCGAAGGCGTGATCCTTGACATGCACTCTGTGGTTTTGACAACCATCAAAGCCCGTCGGAGCTCGAAAGCGATTTGCGACTCGGGAGCAAGATATGTTCAGCCCGAACCCCTCCTCGGGGATCTACTGATCTTGGGTCAATCCATTCCCGGGTCAGTCGGGCTTTACAAGATCCTGCTAGGTCCTGCAGGATCTTGCGCCCTAACCTGGGTCGGTGCACCACTGGCTCTACAAGATCCTGCAAGATCCGTCGCTCTGGCTGACCCCCGTTTGCATTGAACCCCGTCTTAATCGGCTACACGCCAGGGTGACCCTGCGTAAGAGTGACCTTTGGTGCGCGGCTTTTGGGGGGCCACGGGGGGACCAAACACGAGCGCGCAAGACGCCACTACCGCATCGCCTTCGGCGATCGCGGGACCACATTGGGCCCGCATCTAAGGTCACTCTGACGAAAGGTCACCCTTGCGTCTAGTCGACTCAAGGCTCCCGACCTCCCTGAGAGGCTGCGGGGCCGGTCCATGTCAGCGGGGTGCGCTCGGGCGGCCGCCACGACGAGCCGAGGCGCCGGCTGCCTGTCGGGAGCGGCCAAGAGGGGGGGGGTCCAAGAGGGGGGGGTGCAAATCATGACCGGCGTCATGTGCGCGGCCCAGCGGGGGGGCCTGGGACGTAATGAGATAAGAAGAGGCGCCATGAAATCTGGGGAAAAATCATGGCCCGCGCCATGAAATCCACCCCCCCCCCCTAGTCATCACCCCCCTCTCTTCCGCTCCCGAACCCGGGTGCCGCGGCAGGCTGCGCCGGAGCGGCGCTCGAGCCCGACCGCGGCGGCAGGAGGGGGGATGGGGGCAGGGGGGGGCGGGGGGGTCAGAACGGCGGGGGGAGCCCCACCGCCTGGGCGGGAGGTCAAGGGAGGGCTGGAGCAGGACGAGGGGGGGGGCGGTGACGAATGGCGAGCCCAGGGTGGATCCCAGCATCCTTCCCTCGGCGCCGACAAAGACATGGAGGAGGAGGAGGAGGAGGAGGGAGGAGGAGGAGGAGGAGGAGGAGGGAGGAGGAGGAGGAGGAGGAGGAGGAGGAGGAGGATTCAGGATTCAGGATTAGCGAGTTCCTACCGAAAGGCAGCGCCGGTCGACGACTCGCTGGTACTAGGTTCTACCCCGTCGCGTTGAAGAAGGTGTCAAAGATGTCATTGTTTGCTGTCGCTCTTCCACTGGACGAAAGAATCAAGACGTTCATACCAAGACGATTTGCATAGAGCCACATGTTGCCACTCTGATCCCTTGAAGAAGCTGTCCACGCTGTGCTCCCAGCGCCAGACGCGGACCTTTCGCCCGTGCATCTGGTTGCCCCCGTTGCGGCGCGCTCTGTCCCGGATCCACTTGAAATTCCTGTATTGCAGCACAAGGAACGTAATACGGTCCGGGTCGTAGTCCCGAAGCCGAGCCACATGCCCAGCCCACGAAAACATGCGTTGTAGATAAATGGAGTCCCAATTCTGGAAGCCATTCGTCTTCTTCACGGTCTGCACTCTGAGGCCCAATCGGTGCATGAAGTTGCTCAGTGTTTCGGAGGGCCACCGTCTCAACGGCATCATTCTTCTCAACATGGCTTGTTGCACACCTCGGATCTCGGACCGTTGCTGGGCCGTCAAGTTCCAACTGCCACAACACCAGAAGAGAGACGTGGAGACAAGCGACTGCAGCAACTTGAGCCTCTCGGAAAGCGGCGCCTTCCGGCAACAGAGAAGGTGCTGATATTTGTAAAAGGCCCTCCATGATCTGGCAAATCGGTTTTGTAATTCGACCTCCGCATTGTTGTCGAATGTGAGCACCGTGCCGAGCACTTTGAAGCCCTCGCCCCGTTTAGCCCTGGTCAGCTTCCTGTCACCAACCTCGACGCTCCATGGTGCTTCGTCGCTCGCAGTAGAGCACCACGTGACTTCATCGAGGGGAACCGACCACCCAGCTTCCGAAATAATGCCCAGCCAGGCTGTTGTCATCGCTGAAAGTTGCGCTGCGCTTGACGCCACAACCCAAAAATTGTCAGCGAATAATAACAAGCTTACCCGGCGCCCTCCGTCCAGCTGGAACCCCCAGTCCATGCGCTCGGCCAGTGCGCAAAACTTGGCCGCCGGGATGTCAAGCGCCACGTTGAACAAGACTGGGGCTGCGGGATCGCCCTGCAGGAGTGACCTAGATCGCCGCACGCAGTCGGAGACGATGTCCTCGCTCAGAGCGAAGATGGAACCAGATCTGCGAATCTCTCGCAACCAAGCTGCTGATAAGATCCGCGGCGCGCCCTTAGCGTCCAGGCCGGCTAGCAAAGTCGAGTGCTTCGTGTAATCGTACGCCTTCAGCAGGTCCCCGTCCAGCACGAACAAAGGGAGATCCCACTCCAGAGACTTTTCAACCAAGCTGCGGAGTATGTAAACCACCTCGTGCGCCTGATGATGCCGCCTGAAGGCGAATTGCGGTGCCATGAGCTTGTCCACGCCATCCCCGGCCATGATCAAGAGCACTTTGGAATATACCTTGTAGAGCACCGGCAAAATGGCGATCGGGCGAAAGTCACGGACTCTATGTTTGAAGGCCTTTTTCTGGAGAAGTTTGACCACGTGGACGTCCCATGCCCCGTCGTCGGCGCACGGGCCCACGTTCAAGATCCTGGCCTTGAAAAGTTGCGCCAACATCGCCATGGCGTCGTCGTCCAGCTCTTCCAACATTTCCGCCACAAGCAAATCATCTGCGCAGGTTTTCTTCTTCCCCAATTGTTGCACTGCTTGTCGCACGAGTGCGCCGTTCAGCTGAGGGAGCGCGGTCAAGTCCTCGGGCCGCCACTGCAAAAGCGCCCACTGCGGCGCCTGCTGCTCGGCCTCGTCATGGAAAAGGTCACGGAAGAAGGTCGTGAGCATCGAAGCCATGCCGGACACAGAGTTGATCTTCTCCCCTTGCCCTTCGGGAGCGTCCTGGCAGAGATACTGGATGCCGGCACCTCGTCGGTTTCCGCGCACGGCGGTGCTGCCCCTGCCGCTGGCAGCCTGCTCGCACTCCAAGGCTCGTTGCCTCTTGCGGATTCTGCGCCGCACACGGCAAATAGCCAGCGAGAGCTTTCGTCGATGTGTTGGATCGCGCACGTCGCGGCGCTCCGCCACCAAAGTCTTCACAAGCATGATATCAGGGTCGTTTGCTGGGAGCTGCACTCTATTCCTCTTCGGTCTGCTGCCGCACTGGAGCGCGACGTTGACGACAGACGCCGTAAATCCAGATATGTCCGGCAAGTGCCCCCATGCTGCGGAGTCGTCGGCCCTCTCAGCAACAGCGTCGTAGAAGGCGGACTCGCCCCAGTCAGACAAGTAGAACGGCCGGGTCCAGTGCTCCGCGTGCATGTCCCTGTCTCCTCCGCGCCTCGCTGCATCATCGGCGCAATCGTTGCCATAATCGCCACTGTGACCTTTGACCCAAACGACCTGGATGTCCCGTCTGCTCCTCGCCCGTGCCCAGAGGTGTCCAGCCAAGAGTGCCAGGCCTACGTTCTCTTTAGGCTGAAACTTCCCGGTGAGGATGCCGATCACATATTTGGAATCGCAGTGCAAGGTAACCGGATCACCAGTGGACAGCTGCGCCGCGCCCTGAACAGGGCAGTCGGCGAGTATCCAAAACAAACTTTCGATCGCAGCTGACAGTTCGGCAGTGTTGTTCGTACGAGTCTTGGCCCCAACGAATAATGAACTAGACCGATCAAGGATAACTGGGCCAAATGCTGTAAGCAACGGTTCCTGCTCCGAACAAGGCACGGTGCCAAAATCGAAAGCCACAAACCCCCAACCGGCAGAGATAGTCCTCCTTCGCTTCGAAACGCAAGAACCATCTGTATAGATATGGAGAGCCAGAGGTGGACCCTGTCCTGGAACTGGCAGCGGTTCCAGGCCTAGCTGTTCCCGGACTTTGCCACTGTACTGATCGTCCGTAACTGTCCAGCCAATAGGTTTGGGAGTCCTCCGAGAAGCAGCCGAAGAAGACCTGGACGGCGTGGTCTTTCCCAATATGCTCATTACCAGAGCCCTGTGGTCGGTAACTGTTGCTTCGGACTCGTGTATGATACACTTTGGTGCTGCTCGTCTGGGGAGGTTAGAACACATGTAGTCGATCTGTTTGGGCTCATGCTTGAGAAAGTAGTCGCAAGTAAAAGATCCGAGAGGGTCTTGTGTGAAGGTGTTCGCGACGCGTAGCTTCCCAGAAAGACAAAAGCGCAGAAATAGCTCGCCCTTCTTGCCCCTGGGGGCCTCTGCAAAGTCCCCCAACACCTCTGCATCATCATGGCTATTGGGCCCCAGCGCGTCTTGCGCGTCAACGCCAATCACTGAATAACGTCCAACATGCGAAACTGATAACAAATATTCGACATCATCTAAAGCCTGCTCGTATGCGTTAAGATTGGGTCCGTGTGGCAAGTGAGCACTAATCAAATGTAGGCGTCGCCCTTGCCAATCCACGTCTAAGCAGCAAGACCTTCCCACCGATTGAAAAGAATCAGGAACAATCGAATGAGCCAGCTGCGCATGCACGACGATCGCCGCCCGTCGCTGCCCCGATCTTGGATGCTGTGCGAACACCGCGTGGCCGTCGGATGTGTGATAAATTCGTTCACTAGAGAAGCTAAACTCCTGGAGTAAAAGTACGCCCCATTGTACCTCCTTCTCCAGCTGCTGGGTAAAATCGTCGACATCCTCCCCAGCAATCCCCGCCACATTCCAAGATAGTATGTGGAGCTCCCCGTGGATGTCGCCCGTGTCATCGCGGCCTCAGGCCGCGTTGATCGTCGCGAGGTTGGCCTGGAAGTCAAAATCCAAGCCCGCCGACGCCGCCTGCCTGGACACGTGGAGGGTCTGCGCCTCTGGGCTGCGGTCGTAGAGGCGAGTGATGTTCCCCGCGGCCGGCTCGTACCAGACGATCCCCTTGTCCCAATCGGCATCGATGACGGTCTTGCACTTTTCGGGGTCCATGCCGACCTTCTCCTGCATGTGGGCCCTAAGGAGGTGTACCGCTTTGGACGTACGCTTCGAAACGATCCTCTCCTCCATCGTCCTGTCGATCCAGTGCGAAAGACGTTTCCCATTGTAATCGAAGTTATGCCCCTTATGTTTGGTGAGGAAGGCCCACATGTTCTCAGAAGTGTCGAACTGTATGAAGCCTACGTTGGAAAGCTTTCCGGATGCCGCGACCTTGGGTTGTGGATCGAGGCCCTGAATGATCTCCTTGAGCTTGTTCTCGACATCAGCCTTCTTCACGTTCTCCCCGAAGCCCCCCACGATAACCTTAGTGCGTTTGTTCCTGGGGACAAAAGGGCCGTTTCCCCTTCCCCCAGTGCTCCGGTTGGCCTCAAGAGCGAGAATTCGGACCTCGTGATCATCGATACGAGAATGGGCCTCTCGAGCAGCGGCAGAGGCCGCCTCCGCCTTGCTATCTACACTCTTCACCTCTTTCTGGAGGTCCGTGATGGTGCGCTCGATGCTCTGGATCTTGTTATTGGTGTTGGCGTTGACCGCCTTGATGATGGCCTGAGCCTCTTTGCCCAAGCCGCTGGAGTCCCCTGGTGCCTCGTCATCCCGGCCCCTGCTCCTCGAGCGGTCGCTGCACTTGCAACCTCCCTGCGCGAGATTGCCTCCGCAATCCGAGCAGAACGCCATGGCGCCTCCGGGCTCGGGGCGCTGGTCTAGGATGCGGGCGCGTGCTCGGGCTTGAGCTTGAGCCAAAATGGCTACGGAGGAAGGAGGAGGAGGAGGAGGAGGAGCAGGAGCCAGGAGGAAGAGGAGGAGGAGGAGGAGCAGGAGGAGGAGGAGGAGGGAGGAGGGAGGAGGGGGGAGGAGGAGGAGGAGGGAGGAGGACGAGAAAGGAGAAGGGCGCGGCCGAGGAGCGAGGAGGAAAAGGCGGAGGAGGAAGAGGAGGAGGAGTAGGAGGGGGAGCGAGGTTGAGGAGGGGGAGGAGGAGGAGCAGGAGGAGGAGCGAGGAGGAGAACCGAGGAGGAGCGAGGAGGAGCGAAGAGGGGGAGACGGGGAGGAGGGGGAGGAGGGGAGGAGGAGGAGGAGGAGGAGGAGGAGGGGGAGAAGGAGGAGGAGGAGGAGGAGGAGGAGGAGCAGGAGGAGGAGGAGGAGCCAGGAGGAGGAGGAGCAGGAGCACCAATGCCTTCAGGAAACCAGGAAGTCAGAAGGAGGAGGAGGAGGAGGAGGAGGAGGAGAAGCGAGAAGCGAGAAGGATGGGTGGGCACTCGGTGGCCATTCGAGGAGCGCGGCGCGGCCGAGGCACGAGGCGCGGCCGAGGAGGAGGAGGAGCTCCAGCGGCCGCTCGTTGAGCAGCAACCAGGGGGAGGAGAGCATGCTATGACAGGACACGACATGGTAGGATGTCCAACTTGGAGGGGCACAGACGGTCGGACCCAGGCCAGAAGAGCATCCCTCGAGAGTCGAGGATGTACTGACCCGGGTCAATTCAGACCTGGGTCAGTTGGGCCTTGCAGGATCCAGAAAGACCCTGCAGGATCCTGCAGGATCCTGCAGGATCCTGCACCCAAGCCCGGGTTAGTGCGACCCTTGCCCTGCAGGATCCTGCAAGAACTGGCGCTCTGAACGACCCCCGTTTGCATTGACCATCGTCTCTGGAGCCCCAGGAAAACAAGAGACCCCTCGCAGGCCAAATCGAAGCGCACTCGAGGGTACCCTCCCCCAAGGGATGCACAAGAACGCCAAACAAGCATGAAGAACTGCTGGGGCACCCGCCCCGAGCCGACCTCGACCTTCTGTCGCGGTCCGACCGTAATTCAGAACCTCGGCAGGCAGGAGGAGGACGATAAGCAAGAAAGGGACCCCTGACACTTTGGGAGGGGGCCCACGTCAGGATGGCCAAAACGCATCAGGGATACGGGGTCCTTTCCTGCAAATGTACCAGACCAAACCGCCCTGATGTATGATCCGTGGTGCGAAAACGGGAACCTAGTAAGTGAGGCCACGTCTTCATCGTGTCATCGGGATCAGGAGCTCTTTGCGATCGATGAGAGGAGGAGGACCCAGATCTCCGCCGCCGTGAGCTTCTCACGACGCGGACCGCCGAAGGTCCAGACCCGCGCTGCTCCGCTGACGGCCCCGCGCTGCCCAGCGAGAGGGCCCCGCGGAGGCCAAAGAGAGGGCCAACAGACATCGCCCGCGGTGATTTCTCGTGGCTCCGGTCCCGCAGACGGGCCAGGGTGAAGGAGGCGAAGGAGGGAGGAGGGAGGAGGAGGAGGAGGAGGAGGAGGCGGAGGAGGAGGAGGAGGAGGAGGTGGAGGAGGAGGAGGGAGGAGGGAGGAGGGCCCCGCGGAGACCAAAGAGAAGGCCAACAAACATCGTCCGCAGTGATTTCTCGTGGCTCTGGTCCCGCAGACGGGCTGGGGTGACAACGCAGGTGGAGATTTCTGAAACGAGCCACCCCGAAACGGCGCGCAGAAAAGAGACTGGGAAGTTCCTGCGGGTCTTGCATATGTTGAACCCACCAGCTGGGAAAAAACACTCAGGACTCACCAACGTCATCCAGAACGAAACTCACAAGAACTTCTGGCGTTCCTTCATACTTTTCCGATCGAAATCTACTCTGCGAAGTTGGCACCATGAGATTTCGTCACGACCGAATGCAACAGGGGAGGAGGAAGACCCCCGATGATCGCCGGACCAGTCGCAGCTATCCCGGCGGCCCCCGAGACCCGCTATCACCTGCAAGCGGATAGCCTGTCGCTCCGCTCCGCGGAGCTGGAAGCTTGGAAAGGCTCGGGACATTGAAGCCTGGGGACTGGGAAGAGGATAGCGTGTCGCGTCGGGGCGTGGAGGGCCAGAACCGGCGGAGCGACACGCTACCCCTAAGTGCTTTCAGCCCGAGCTGTTTTCTTGACGGTCTTCGGGGCCGGCGAGGGCTCCTGGAGGCCGAAGATGGCCAACAAGCGTCCGTCGTGACTTGTTAACGACGCGAGGGGGTCTGGATTGAGGAGTAGGAGGAGGAGGAGGAGGAGGAGGAGGAGGAGGAGGAGGAGGAGGAGGATGGTGATGGATGATGGATGGTGGAGCGCCCTCCAAGGCGGAGCTCCCTGAAACCACATACCAACAGAGCAAGAAGCAGACCTTCTCGAATTTGTCTTAGCACCCAAGAGAAAAGAAAACTTCGTGAGCCAATCTGTGGTGGACCGCGGGATCTCTCGAGCCTTCGGGGTTGATGGCTGTGGTCCACCCGCTGTTGTCCCACCCAAACGCTCGGCCACGGGAAGATCGAGAAGAAATCTTCGAAGAAATGCCGCTTGGACAGCTATGCAAGCGCCGCTTTCCCTCGAACCAATCAGGACCTTGCTCTGTAAAGGCCCTCGCTGCTAGACACTCCCGGTGTCATTTTGAGGAGGAGGAGGAGGAGGAGGAGGAGGAGGAGGAGGAGGAGGAGGGAGGAGGGAGAAGGAGGCGAAGGAGGGAGGAGGGAGGAGGAGGAGGAGGAGGAGGCGGAGGAGGAGGAGGAGGAGGAGGAGGAGGTGGAGGAGGAGGAGGGAGGAGGGAGGAGGGCCCCCGATGGCCTCGGGGCCAGGCGCGGGGCAGGCGTCTCGGAGCGCGCCGGCGCGCGCGCGCGAGGGCGCGCGCGCGCGCAAGGGCACGCGCGGGGCCTGGGCGGCTCGGGGGCCGCCGCCTCGGGAGTGTGCGGGGGGCGGCGAGGGCGACCCGCGCCGGAGGCCGGAGGAGGGGCGGGGGGAGGGGAGCGGAGGGTCTCCTGGCAGCTCGTAGGAGCCTCCCATGCGTAGCATCTTGTTGGCTCCTGCGAACCGAGGCCACCAGTCGATACGAGCTGCTGGAAAGGTGTGCTCGTTTGTAAAAATACGTTGTTCATCGGTTGCCGGAAGCAGATCGACGCCAACGCACTCCCAAAACGAAAAAGCGAAGGCACGCAAGGCTCCCATGATTTGCTGCCGGAGGAACAAGGGGGAGGGGGAGTGAGGGACGAGGGATGGACGAGGGGTGGACAGGGAGAGCGGGAGGGTCGCCCTGCCGCAGCCGTTGCTCCTCCTCCTCCTCCTCCTCCTCCTCCTCCTCCTCCTCCTCCTCCTCCTCCTCCTCCTCCTCCTCCCCCTCCTGTTCCAGTTCTCTGCTCCTCCTCCGCCTGCGCCTCCTGAAGCCTGCGTAACCAAACTTATGTTATGCGGTCGCGCCTCGCCATGCGCGACGATTGACTATCTCGCGCTCTTGGAGGCCACCTCTGAGCAGGGCGGCTCTTTGGCCAGGGCCGCGACGCGCGAAGCGCGATTCTCTTCACGCCCATGCTTACGACGTGAGAGATGCCCACCAAAGATCAGGCCAAGATTCGACTGCGTACTGCTGGCCC